AAATTAAAAATAGTAAAATAATTTATCAATAAAACAAATGTTAGTATATTGCAATAATATTATGATGAGCGCATAATGGTGTAATTTATATAACGGAACACTGGAGCATATGGTCATATTATATTAATATATTATTATAATGGCTTTTTACTTTTTTTTAATTATACCTACATGCACCGATAGAATATATTAAAATGGTCTCTTGTCACAGGCCATTTATCACGTGTACGACATAATATTATTATTAGGTACTGTTAAACACATTGTAGTGCAACGCGCAGTGACCCAAACGCGTATGAGGACAATGAGATTGGATATTATACTAATAATAGTTTAGTGCGGGTAAAATATGATTTATGTGACTCATTTCGAGTATTTATCGCGGTTAAATGATAATTTGCAGTCGTTGGCGCAATTTTATCGAACAGCTTTGCATCGAATTGGATTGTGTGGTCTCTTGTTTGGGTGTCGACGCGTAGGCCGCGGCGGCGCGATGAGGTTGAACTCGATATATTTTTTGGTTTTCCGCTATCGTTTCATCGATTTGAATTCTCCGTGATTTGACGTTCGCTGTCGGCGTCGTCGCTATAACCACGGTATAGGTATAGTATAATATTATAATATGCTTATGCAATAACGTAGTCCATCATTTTCTATTTCCACGAACCACGCGAGAAAAGTCTACGTGCCCACCAGATCCGAAGCCTATCACAGGATCGTACATAATAATATACGGTTTCACTTTGACGCGAATTCGCGTACGTGCGATGATACGGAAAACAATTGATTTGATTTCTCCAAACCATCGTCGTCGTTGACGTTCACACGTTTATGGAGTATGATGCCTATCGCCTATTCGTACAGGGCGACTCACCGAGCACGTTCACCCCTTTTTCCTTCAACAATGCAGTTATTCAAAATCTAATTTTCGATTATATACTTAGAAAGACCGTGTTTTCAAATTCTCACGATTTCTTTACTAAAGCGGTGTCCAGTGGTGGTACAAACTACTGTTTTTTAAATTAAGAATTCCTTTATTCTACTGTAAATTACTTAGCTGATAATTTTTTTGAAAACTTTGACTTATCGCAATCAAAATATGAAGAAACAAGATGTTGGGAAGATAATAATATGGTTACGGCGATTTTAAAATTGTAAATTTGGAAAAATGGTTCAAGTATGATAAATACTAAATCCAATGTTACACATATATGGTACCCGGGAAATATAATTTCAGGTAAATTGGGTAAATTAATTTTGTATGCTAAACCCAATCCATGGATATCACAATACTTTTTTATGATTGTTTCCTGACTTTTCCAACAAAATAATAAAAAATATTATGTTTGACAATAGCTATATAGTTATCTATTGCAATAAACTAAATGATTTAAAGTATCATTAAAATTTAACTAAAATTTAAAAAAATTTCACTAAATAATTACCCAAATTTTTGGTAGGTAAATATCCAAAATATTTACCTACCCATCGGGTATTTACCTACGGAATATCACTACACATGTACTATCAGACAAATTCATCTGTATTCTATACTATATTTTTGTAAAATCATATTGAAATACTATATTTATTACTTGTTCTTAGAATAAACATTTTGATAACTGAGAAGCTAGTTCGAATTTTGAATTAGGTATATACATCATAATGTTTAAAATACATTACTCGCTAAATAATTTACAATAAGTAACGAGGGTTCTCGTTTGAATAACAGAAGTTTGTATTGCCAGACTTCTTGAGTAGGTAGTAGAAAAAATCTAAAGAATTTGAAAATACAGTCATTAAGTATATTATTTAAACATTTTGATTAAAATATGAGTTTATGACATATAATTATTTAATATAGAAATAATTTTGTAGAAGAGTACCTAGTGGGAGAGAACGACGTTTTTGATGGTGGTTTTTAGTATTTTGAATTGGCTGGGGACGTCGCTTGCGGCGTGTGTTGCGGTGACTGAGATTCTGCGGAGAAAAGTATTTAGAATATTTTTTTGTTTCGTTTTGTTTATCAGATCGATCATTAGCACGGCAATTACATTTGCTATTGTTCCGCCGTATCGTATAGAAAGCGCACTGTATCGGGTTCGGAGTAAATCGCTGTATAGGTATAATATTATATACTTTTACCTACATAATATATTATCATAGATTGTTTTTCTATATTATTAATTATTAATTGGGTAGCAATTATTTGCAGATGTAGGTAGTGGGTATAGGTACGGTACTCTGCGGTATTAACGCGCGACAGAGCGTTCCGAAGGAAAAACCGTTCTAGTAATATTGTGCTCCTATTGTTGTGTACCACTCGAGCTTTTCTCCCGTGGGCACATTTTTTTTCTTTTAGACACGCGATTGTGAATAAATATTATGCAGTTATCGAAAGTCGGAGGTGTGATTTGCGTTTATCGATGACTAAATACATGCATACTGTAATAGTATGGCGCACACTGCACGTTGATGTAGGGGGGAAAGAATTTGTCCCCCCAAAATATCTAACCATCAAAGTCCAATAACAAACGTAACTTTTAATTTTTCGTTTCGGCAGAAAGTACTTATATAGTATATTTTATTGATATTATAATAGGTACCTACAACGTTCTGGTGAAATTAAGCGTGTTCATGTCATTACTCATTTTTGGTTTAATTTTGTTTTTGTTTTTTGATAACTTTAATGAAAATGTCACTAAAATTCACGTACTCACTTCATACTTAATTTGTCTTTACGATTATATTAAAGTAATTCAGTTTGCCTTATCAGGGCAACCTGTTGCTATAAGCACCTAATACAATATACCTAGTATTGTTTTACACGTAGAATTTTTCATATGATAGTATTTTACTGTCTTACGTATAATATGTAACAAATAGGTACATGATACTATAAGATGTTTGCCCGAGGAACTTAATTTGAGTTTGCCAATAGCTTGTGTATAATGATATTATATTTTATTTATGGGTGTGGTCGGTTAATATTTTTATTTAAAGTTAATTCAATCATTGCGGAAGTGGAGTCTACTGCAGGTAGGTTATAGTTGATTCGCAGGCATCGTACTAATATACAGAGTTATTTTTTAAACATGCTCACCCCCATTTTTCCCTTAATACAACCTTTATTCAAATTCTGGTTTTTGAATTTTTAATTATACCTAAAGACCATATTTTCAAATTCCTGATATTTTTTGTATTACTTAAGTAATGTCCTGTGGCGATACATATATCTATTTTTCAAATGAGAACCCCCCTTTTTACTGCAAACTATTTAGTTAGTAATTTTCTTGAAAATGTTGATGTATCTAAATCAAAATTATAATAAGTAGTTTCTGAGTTATAAAAATATAGAAACTTACTAAGAGTTATAATGCTTATATACGGTTTTACAAAAATATAATATTAGATGAAAATTCATTATAGTTGTGTAATTTTTAAAAATTATTTGTATTGGTAGATTAATAGTAATTACTAAAATGTTTAAATCATTTAAGCCCCCTAATCTACTTAATCCACTACCATAGACATATTATTATCCTTAATACACAAAGTTATACAACACAAAATGTACTCTTTTGAATTTTGATTTAGATGCATAGATATTCTCAAAAAATATATCTGCTGAGTAATTAAAAGTGAAAAAGGGGGTTTCCTATTTGAAAAACCGATATTTGTATTGTCACAAGAGCATCCTTGAGCAGTATACAAATTCTCAAGTATTCGAAAATATGGTCTCTATGTGTATTTAAAAATTCCAAAAAATAGAATTTGAATGTAGGTATGTATAATTTAAGAATAAAAATAGGGCGAACATGCTTAAAATATCAATCTGTATATAATATTGTCTACTGCAGTCAGCGTGAGTACGTATTATTTTCACAATCTGACTCGATGTGTATTGTATTGTGTGCGTGTGTGTGTGTGTGTTTGAGGGGGGGGATATTAAATAATGATATTATATAAACGAACACGAACTGTACACTGGCATGTATATTATAATCACGTCACCGGAGATAACTTCCGACTTCCGAGAGTGAGGTTCAAAACGTTTTCTACTACGATTCGCGCATCGTTTGCGGTTGTAACCCGGTATAATATATAATTATATTATACCGACGACAATGCACGTAATATTATTTTTGAATTAAGTGCGAGCTTATTTGCAGGCAAATCTTTGGTAACTCTGAAAACGATTAGCTGAGAAAAAGTAATTAATAACCGTAGATGAAAAGAAAACGTCTTTAGAAAGCGGTTTGCTGGTGGAAAATACATATGACGTCGTCGGTGTATGATCGATAGTAATATGTGTGTGTCTAAAGTATCAACTGGACTCAAGGCGCCGTGTATCTGTTGACTGAGGAAGTCGATCGCACTTGTGCATGTAAGTTGCCTTCTGCTAAACCCTTGTAACCTCATCGTCGTCTGCCGTCGAACGAAATAATAAAAGTCGGTGTGATTAGGGCTCGGGAGTTCGGGATATCTGGTGGGATGTTAGAATTATGTACATTTATCATTGTATAATATTTGTTTACTTTGAAAAAAATGTTTGGCCTAACTACTCGCATTATTCATCACTCTCAGAATTTGTCCCCTCTAGGCCACTCGCCCACCATTTATTTCATCTGACTTATTTTATCGTACCTATATACTTATTACTTATACTATACAGTGGCGTAGCCAGGAATTACGCGAGGGGGGGGGGGGGTTAATGACTTTTATTTTTGCTCAACTCTAAAATATATTGCTCAGGAGTGGTAAAACTAAATGCGCTAAAATGTACCGAGTTATACGCTTATATACGCTTATTTAGTAATAAATTTTTTTTTATTAACTGAAGGTGAATAATAATTATATTTATTTATGTTAATATTAAACACGCAGTACATACTTATTGACTTATTATTATAAACAAGTAAAAATAAAAAATAAAAACAAATTTAAATTGTAATATTTATATTAAAGTTAATATATTTTTTCACATTATAAATTACAAGCTATAGCAATCTTATTTTTCTTGAGTCTTTTGCAAAGTCATTAAGAACTTCATCTGTTGTTAAAATAATTTCACGATGAATATTTAGTAGTGCTAAACTATTTAATCTGTTTTCTCCAATAGTATTTCTAAGGTATGTCTTAAGTCTTTTTAACGTAGAAAATGACCTTTCACTGCTTGCTGTAGTTACGGGAAGTGTAGCTATTATTTGGAGAAGTTTATAAGTAGATGGAAAAATGAGTGGGTTACATGCTATAAGAGCTTCTAATGCATTTTTTGGTTTTTCTGTTCCAACAAATGTTTGTGTCCATGTCAATACTTCTCCAATTACTGAATCTGAACTACATTGAAGATCTTCACTATACTTTTCTGCCAAACTTTTTATGTTTTCTTCTCTATTTGGCAAATTATTGTTTGGTAAGAGACAGCAAAAATTGGTAATTAAAGATTTATGTGCAATGAACATATCATAAAGTTGACTAATAAAATTATCTAAAAATGGAATAAACAATGATATTTTATAGTATTCATTTGGACAAGTAGTTTTTACATTAAACCGATTTTTTTGTATGTTTGTTAAACGAGGTAAAGTTATTTCAATATCAAGTGACATACATTTTTCTTTCACTTTCAAAAATAGTTTCTTAAAATCCTCATCTGCATTATTTCTGATATTTTTTAACACATCAGATACATTATCTGCCAGAGACATGGATTCAAATTTCAATCAAATCAATATTTTGCATTTGAAGAAGTTTACTAAGAGGTAAACTTATGCTAAATACTTTTGCTAGCAGATGTGTTGCCAAAATAAATTCAGGTTGCTTAATAGCACACAAAAGTTGATAAGCTCCTGATGACGATTCTCTGTCTGGCCATGTAGAAATAATTGATAATCCATCAATAACTGCATCAAATAATTAATAAAAATATAAATAGAACAATATTACCCGTCGCTGTCGTCGGGTCATACATACACGATACACGCCATAGACATATACATATGTTTATATAATTCTGAGTAGATGTGGGATCGTTCGGTCGTCGGTGCGACAAGCACGCGACGATCACCGAATAGCGTCCCACAGCCGTACATAGAAAATAGTAAATACTAAAATAATATTAAATAATAATAAAAATAAAAGTATTAAAATCATACAATAAAAACATTTTTTTTTTAAGGCCAAGGGGGGTGTTTGAACCCCTAAAACCACCCCCTGGCTACGCCACTGATACTATATATTTTTTTTGTTACATAACACACTTTTCACTTACTAGTTACAACCTATGAAATGATATTCCTATCAAAAGAAATATCTATTATAGATATGAATTATGATATTGTGTATTTTAATTTCGACACACAACGCTTGTATTATATTACATTGAGTATCGAAGATCGTAGTCGAGATTTTTGTTTTGACATCGATTTCGATATTATTTGAGTATTTGTCATATTATTATGATAACAGTGTATATATACTTACTTAATGTTTACCCTGATAACTTATAATTTATATTTTAAGCAAATATAGGTTCATAATAATATTATATTATACTGTAGGTACGTATTATTATAAATTATAATTTGTTTCCATGACACAATGACAAAAATGTCAGTTTTTTTCATCTGTTCAGTAGGTATAATGAGGATTGATATCAAAAGGTTTCTCAACTCCCATCTCGTATATTTAAATATACAAAACAAAATTGTTGTACTTACATTGTATACTTGTATCAGTACAGTTACAGCGCCAAATTCGAAAACACGAAAACAAAAAAATACCATAACGAGGTCATGGGGAATTTAACATCATATCGATTATGTAATTAATAACTATACAATTAATACTGCCTTTTAACTGCCTAAAATTGCATGACCACTAATTTTTTTATAGTGGAGGTATATTTATAGTATACATCACGATCACTGATATATACACGACGACACTATTCTGCGACCGAATTAAATACGATATCTGCAGTTATATCTATGATGTTCGCATATATATTATCATGCTAACTAAATCTTTGTATCGATTGGGTCGTGTCAACTTTGTCTCAAAAAAAATATATAATATTACAGTAAACGTGCAATAGCTGCGTCGGACGATCGCCGGCTTATTAACAATGATTAATATAGTGATAATAGTAATACACGTAAAAGTCCGACGACGGCGCCGACTCCTGCAGCAGGAGCCATATCCGTCAGCATAATATTAACGGGCACCTAATTATCAATTTGAGGAAGTATAATATTATAATATAGGTATAGTGCATACGGATGATTACCACACGGCAGTAGCATTTAACAGTCATTACGGCCGTATGCGATAGGTATTAAATATTATTATACAGCTGCGGATCGACGCGGTAGCTATACAATATTATGATCATCATAGTGGTCGCAGCCAGTGATCTCTCTGCAGCGCACGCTGAACGTATAGTACCTATATAATATAGTTGCGACGGTAACGACCGTCTAATCGCACCGAAAGCGCACTCGAAACGACGGACCTCACGCGGGCCGCGAGTAAAAGGTCAAGTAGAATGTAGATTATTGTAACCATTACTATTATTATTATTATTGAGAGTTTTCTCACGGGCGTAAGGGTGAAAATCGTTAAGGTCTTTAACTACGCCCGCGCGCTACTCGTCGTGTGTGATATCGCAACGCCATAATATAATATATGGCTGCTATCCTGTTTGATGATGATTTAGCCTGTAAACCTGTGGTTTTCTACGAGCAGCGTCCATCAGCGATAAAGTGTAATACTGTTTTGTTGCTGCAGAATTCATCGCATTAAGGTTATCATAATTTATAATGTCACGCGGAGATCGGAATCGTATGAATAAGATTTTGAAATGAAAGGTTATTGTTATAGACGGATACTTCATTATGTGCGCGTATAATATATTGGAATACTTACAACAAAAATTAAATAGGTAATTAATATATTTCAATGATAAAGCCTTTTGATGAACATTGTATTAACCTATATGTATATGTATCATGTATGCTTTATTTTTGCATTATGTGTATAATATACTATTTTAATAAGGTGTGAAAAAATAATATTAATCATAAAATGCACTATAATATAAGTATTGTAGTACATTGAAGATCAGCTGTTAACATTCGAAATCGTTATGTTTTTAATTATAGTTTGATTTTTATTAAGAGATCAAAAAACATTAGTGGACTGGACTACGGAAATCTATGGTTATACTGGTGACTCTATACGATTATTAAACAATTATTAAAGTCCTGGAAATAAAGTAGACCAATAGATTAATAGAGTTCCAGGAATCATTGAAAAAAAAAACAATTACATCGAAATCAATTATTGTTGAACCGCAATAAAATAGAAAAGTAACCATTGCAGACGTTAAAGTCTTCGTGGTAGGTATACGGTTTGTTTCCAAAATATATAAAATAATCTTATGATTGTTTAAGTAGGTAACAGTGTTTTAAACTCATACACTGAAGGTTTACTTCAGTGTGGTAATATGAAATAGATGAATACAATATTTTACTGGTAGCACTTAAAAGTGTTTGTGTCTACACTATTTTGGTAATCAGGAAACCAGTTATCAATCAACTCGTTTTTGATTAGTTTTATTACTGAAAAAAAAGATATCTTTTTGATTAATCTAATTACACGGGTATACTCATTATGGTTTATATTTTGTCGAGTAAACTAAAATTTAAAAATCCGGTTTGATTCCTTCTTCGTCACGAAGACGGTCCATCGCACAAGTCATTAAATTAAAAAAAAAAAAAATTAGAATACGAACAGACTAATTGGTTTCTAGTAATTATAATTGAAGAAGGACGTTTTGGAAAATGTATATGATAATGTGGATTGCAATCTTACACGGAAATAATTGCATTTGATGTTAAAATTTCTGTTTGAAAGTTATTGCACGAATTATATAAATAATAATATTCTTCTGTAGATAGTATACAGATTATCGATATAATAAAGTACTGGGTACCGTAAAATAAATATGAGTATAGTAATTCTACCTGGGCTCAAAATCGATCAAATAGATTTTTATTTTGGTTATGTTATAGATTTGAGCCAGTTAGATTTATTATGCCATTGATTATAATATTAACCGCAATTATTTTTATCTGTTTTAATTTAATCTTTGTAATATCACTAGTACATTAGTTCTTTTAATTATATGTACTACTAATTCAGTATACAATTGGAATGCAGTGTATCATTAAATGCATAATCAAAATGTAGTTTAAATAACTGCGAGAGCTTAACTGATGATGTTTATATAATAACTATTAAAATACAAATTTTTCAGGAAAATACAATTTATAATTTTAAGTTAAGTATATTATTAAAACGATGTTCAATTTTTATAAATTATGCAGTTTAAGTAATTAAAAATTATAAATCATATTGCATTCAATTTGTTCATTTTTCAACGGGATGAATATTTCAACAGTAATTATAGGTACTATAATTTTTAAGAAAATCATAGTCTCTTTTAGGAAAGTCTATTAGGAACATTATATGGGAAATTGTAACGTCATTAAAAATATGGCTCTAAAGTCATATATTTTTCACCCACACGGGTTTTGTTAAGTTTGTTGGTGAAACCGACATGGACATTCGATTTTTAAATAACAACCGCCGAACTATACTTACTTTAAATGTCATTACCTAAATACACTGGATTATGAGTACTTGAGAGTTGAGATGTGTCATCTGCAAATGACGATTGGCTGCTGCCTCACATAATATACCCATTGAAGTAATTTAGAAATTTGTAAAGATACAATATAACAATAGCTCGTTGTTTAATATTGATTAAAGATGTTTTTATACCTATTTTTGTTTTCATTTAAATAATTTTAATTTTTATATTGTGTTATTTGTGTACCATCAAAATGTACAAATTACAATATACCTATAGTATTTTTATTTATAGTTGTGTTATTTAATATTTTATAATTTATGCCAATCATCAAATTGTACAAATTGGCTAGGTGTTTTGAATTTTTCCAAAAAGTTAATAATAAATTAAATAAACATTTTTATTTTCAGTATTAAAAAATAAAAATGTACCATAAACGTATAATAGAGCAAAATGTGTGTAAAAAATGGAAAAACGTGGAAATCATAGAGCATCAATAGAAATTATTAAAATTTTGAAAAATTTTCCTTTTGTTAGATTATAATATATTGGTAATTATAGCAAACAGACGTTTGTGGAACATTAAGATGCCCGTACAGTTTTCAAGACAGTATATTAATAAGCTCCATTATTTATCAATATATTGTAGATGACAATTATAAGCTGCCGTATTCGAGCAGGTGATAAAATATGGAAACTCAACTTATTTGCTACATGAGCGTTCACTGTCTTATTGTAAATAAATAATTACAGATGGTATAATAAATTATTGAAATACAAAAAAAAAATTTATATTTTAGGTAATTTACAGATATTTTCGTATATAAAATTTAACGGTATTTACCTATAATATTATAGTGAATCTGTGTAACAATAATATAAAAATAAAAATATTAATAACTTTATCATTATTTTTTTATTCATGGCTGAAAACGAAAAAGTATCACTGAAACTTGACGACGACCGTTGGTATCGATATAGAATAATAAACAAATATTCTGAGCTCACTAATTTCAGTAGACCTTGATCATATTAATATAAATTGAAAATCCA